TGTGTCCCACAAAAGACATGACCACATTCATGACACCGACATATGACAGAGTCGTGAGAGTTGTCACACGCATCGCAAAAGGGCAAACAACAATCAACCGCCACGCGCTTCAAATCGTCCGATACAACCAGGAGCACCATGCATTGATAAAACAACCACGTGCGCTGAACGCAAAAATAAAAAGAAAACAAAAACAATAAAAAAAAAAAACGAAAAACAAAGGTTTAAACCATTCATCCCGTGCTGGCCCTACTGTCCGCACACTAAACACCTACGCCACCGTCGAAGATTCAGCCGAATCCCTTTGGCCAACAGGCTAACCACCGAAACTACAATGACACAATCGAACTGAATCAACCCATGCTTATGCCACGGGCGCCACAGTAAACCTGTGCACAATGATGACGGAGGACTCTGGCGAATCCCGGCGGCCCACACGCTAATCAGTTGCGCCACGCACGACACTCCAATCACACGACAGCCCGTCACGTCTCGCCACGCGTACATGCGCCTTCGTTCTTAGAAGCGCTGTCTCCCCGCTCTTCCCCCACATACCAGCCTGCCTTATGCGTCGTCTTTTCCTTCGCCTTTGATTTCATCATCGGCGGTGTCCGAACCCAACTAATCCAGCCTCTTCGCATCCTCTGGCACCTTGATGGTCGCGTCGTGCGCAAATCCGATGCCGCATGGTGCCCAATCGGGGATGTAGTCGGGGTACACTCCGAGCGTGACTTTCGCCTTCCCAAGCCTCTCTGTGACGACGTTCGCGGCGCGGGTGACGGATCGTCGATGATCGAAGGACCGATGCATGGAGGTGATTAGTGTCGGCCTGGCGACGAGATCCGCGAAGTAAAACGCTTCGTAGTGACTGCGCGGATCGTCTCCCGCCATGCGCATAATCCACATGGACGCCGCCAGCAACAGCCTGAAGCAATCAGCCACCCGACATAGACGCTCGTAGGAGATGAAATCGTCGTCGATGTGAGCACCCATTTGCACCGCCGAGCAGAACGAATGCGCGATGCTGATGACGGTGGACTCCTGGTACGCAGCCATGTCGTCGTCCTCAGGTCTGTCCTCGATATTCACATCGGCGTACCACAGTGGAAGGTCCATGTTAAGATCTATCGTGTGGGCGCAGATCGGCGCGCCGACGACGTTGCGCCACTCCTCGCCGTACCACATTGCACGCGCAATGTCTGTCGCTACGGACTCCAACGAGTACTAGAACGCAAGGTTGTACCCCCTTGGGCGGTTCCCGGACTTGAAAACCCAACCGTGCAAGATGCGCAGAGCTATATTCTCCACCGCCACCGCACGGGAGATCACCTGCTGGAGCTGTGATTGGTCTGCGATCCTCGCCACCCTCGTGCTGGATTTGGGGACGACAACGCTCCGCGGAAGTTGAGGTGGCGGAAGCCCGCTGGCGATGGCGACGAAGTACTCTTTGGTTTCGTAGACGATGTTGTAAAGTCTGCGACCTTCACCCGTTGTCCAGAAACATTTGTCATCCACCCAAAGAAGCGCACAGTCGATAATTTCATTCCTCATTACTCCCCTGCGTGCCCGGCTTGAAGCGGCCTCGCCGCCATCGCGTTAGTTCGTGTTCTGTCCACGACCCTCCTCTCTCACTGTCGCCGGAACTGCAGCCTCCTCTCTCGCCGCCGGAACGGGAGGGACAACACCTGCAACAGCCACACCCGCGCCACCTGCCGCCTCCCCTCCTGCTGCACGCGCGTATGCCACGACTCCCCCCCCCCACCTCGTTGGCGAGACGCACCGTCGCCACCGTCGTTGCGCTGACGCGGCTGAGACGGCATGCAGGGCAGTGCACCTGTGATCGGGCTTTCGTTGTCCATAGAGCGAGCCGTCGACACCGCCGTTGTGGTCGCTTATGTCGCACTGCGCAGGCGACGTCTCTCCAAAGGCTCGTCGTCCTCGCCGCCAAGGTCCACCACAACACCCTTCTCTTTCCACGTTTCACGGACACGCAGCTGCTGCACCTCCGGCAGAAGGGTTGACATCCTCTTCGAAGCGCTCTGGTCCGTAGTATGCTGCCTGGCACTCTCCCGTCCTGCAGACGCCATCGCCTCGCATTGATCGTCCTCCGTCATGAAATCATCGTCGTTGTCCTCTTCCGCCGGCTGCGACCAACCTTGCGCACCACGATGCTGCACGCTTACTGACGCATCATCCAAACGTAGCCTCTTCGCCTTCGGAACGTGCCGACGACCTTTCCCCTGGGCTTGGGTTTCGTCAAGCGCGACGTCGCACTTCTTGCCACGGGCGTTCAATCGCACAGACATGCTGGCTGGGGACCCCCACAAGCGATCTCGGTGTAGCGCTCGGCTGACGTGTGCTGTTTCATCGAAAAAGATGTCACCCGTCTCTTGCCAGCCTGGCCAGACAGGCTATCCCGACGACGCTGAAGATGTGTCCTCCGCTGCAGGATGACGATGACGCCCAAGCGCACCACG